ATTTTCAAAACAGGAAGTATACAAATTCAACATCGACTTATGACAATTTACACACTATCATTCCCAACAAGAACCTATACGAAGACCATCTCGTGTTTAACTCGTTACCACTGACGAGGCACGACAGGATGTTTCTTCGCTTCCCCTGAGATTGCCCCCGAAAAACCAGTATAAATACGGGGACTCTGTTGAAAATTGATGATTTTTTCAGTTTTCTTGCAGATGAGAGTGCTCGCATTTCTTGGGACTGTGTGCCGTGTGGGCGCAAAAGTCTCGCTGGAAGACGCTCTAGAGGTGCTGGGGAGAAGAATAGCCGGCCCGGAGAAGGATAGCCTGCGGGTAAACTTGGAGGGGCCGCTAAACATGGTAAACGCATACATTTACACACATTTAGGGTATATGCAGAATAAGAGGCTTTTTTCCCCGGAAATAGAGACGAGCTACAGCGTAAAGTGCACGGGAACGGTAAACAACAAGGAAGTATACAGTTGCGAGAGGAAGTGCGTCAAGGATGCAGCATATTCCCTGCAAACGGGGGAAGAACTAACTTCCGCGGAGTATTTGAGGCACTACCACGAAGTCCTTATAAAGCTCTTTCCTTCCGTGGACGGGAATCTCTCAATAGAAACCGGAAGGAACGACTCGACAACAAAATTTCTAAGGAGGAAAATCAGCGAGGAAGAGGCCCTGCGCGTGCTCGCATCGCTTTTCCTGCTGAGTGTGGGCGTGGACGTGCCGATTCTCCCGGACACTCCGGACTCCAGCGAAAGCCCGGAGAAACTTCTCTCGGGGGTGAATAGAATCCTCGCGAGAAAAGACAACAAGAGACGAGAGATCGTTGCGGTTATTCGCTTCCTGAAGAAGTATGGGAAAACACACTCCATGCCCGAAACACTCTCTGCCTTTGAGTCTGGGGAGTTTCTGGACAGCACGCAATTCCTTGTGCAAACGTACATTTTCGAGTACCTGCCGAATAAGGAGGCCTTGGCTGGATTTATTCGGGCAGTGTATGAGATTATGGTGGAGATAAAGAGTGGTACAGGCAGAAACGAGATTTTCAGCTCACTTTTTGTGCCTTCGGAAAGCTCTCTCTCCCAGAAAGCCATTTTTTCGCCTGTTACGAGAGTGGCTGCAGTAGAAAAAAGGCTCAGCTGGTTCCCATACGCGGACACTTCCCTTGTTCCAGCGTATAAAACCGTGCGTGCATACAGCAGGAAAGACTTGGCCTTTACTGAAAGCTCTTTCAGCAACTGCGTGGAAACGGGAGTTTACGCTGCTTTCTGCTGCCTTGCATACGACCCGGAGAAGCAGGAATACAACGTGGAAAAAATGCTCCAGACCTCGGAAAATTCTGAAGAATCTCGGGATTTGCACGCTTTTTTCCAGAGAAAAGACATTTCTGCAAAACACGGTGCCTCTCAAAGGGTGCTTGAGGAGTGGAATAGAGTCGTCTCGGGGCTCCCCGGGGGGATCAGATACGTGAGAGAATTCGGGAACGAGCTGGAGGCGGGGTTCCTGAACTTTTTGTGCGTTATTTCGCAGGTTGCAGGGCGCCCGTTGGAGGAAAAACAGATGCTCCAGGATCTTATGGGAAGACTGGAGAGAGAAGGGGGCAGCTCGCTGCACGATGTTTGGAGTGCAGCCCAAAAGTACACGCAGGAGCTTTTTTCGGCCCTCTCCGTGAACAAGAGCGTGGAGGTGAAGTTTACGAAAATGGAAAAAAACTCCAAGGAAGGAAAGAGCGACTTTTACGGGACTTTCATTCTAAAGTACACCAGCGCAGAAACGGGCGCAGTCCAGGGCCTTTCTTTTGTCTCTTCGCCTAACCATCTCATGATTGCCCCGATTCCTGCTTCTAGTGCGCTTTCTAGCGAGGAAGAAGGCGGCTTTTTGGCGAGCATGGAGGAGCTTGAGAAGAAGCCCGGCTTTACTTCCTGCCTTTTCTTCGAGTACACGCGGCAATGCATGCGAAAGTTCGCAGTCCCTGCTAAGTCTTTCGGGGTGTGCGTTGATGAATTCATGAAAAAAGCCGTTGAAAAAATCAGGACATCCCCAACCCACGGGGTAAACCGCCTTCTCCTGATACAGCCAATTAGGAATGTGCCTTTTATGGCGGGCCTTACATCCACTCTCTGCCTAACCGCAAAATCCAGCGGAGTTGCCCTCGATCCCTCGCACAAAATTGTTCGGTTCGTTTCCAACGTCCTAGGAAGCAGCCCTTTGGATGACAGTTACACGCAGTGCACCATGCTGACTATCCCCATGTACGTGGAAGACATTAAGACGCTCTTTCCGAGGATTTCCCTTGGCAAAGCCGCGTATAGCCAGATCTTCAAGCAAGTGGGCTTTTTCCTGTGCAAGAACTCCAAGGTCTATGCAAAGCTCCCAAAGGCGGCTTCTTTCTTCGTCAAGTACCTGAAGAGATACTCACAGGAAAGAGAACCCGGCCTTTCCACGTACCAAATGCTAAACGTTAGAACATGGATTTTTTCGGTCTTTGACTACATCTTTGCCGATGGCTCCTGCGAAGCTGCAAATGAGCTTTCAGATGCTCTGGCGGCAGAGGGGACTCCTGCAGCCGAAAGCCTGAAGAATGTTTTGGACCTTGTCTGGCTGGGGCTTTCCTACCACAAGAAGCGGGAGTGTTTAGGGCTTATTCTGGAGCTTTACGACCGAGTAGACGCGAAAAGCCTCGACAAAAAGGGCCATGCTCTTTTCGCATACGCACAGAAAAAACTTGTCTACATCCAGAAAGTGAAAGCCCTTAAAAAACAGGAGGAAGCCGGGATTTTGCCCGAAGAAAAGGCCCAGGCGGTGCTGGGGCTCTTCAGGGAGGAGCCTCTAGAGGTGCCGCAGCCATATGTTTTACGTGAGGCAGTGCCATAGAATAAACGCCTTCTTCCATAGAGTTTTCAAGCAGGCGATGAAATCCCTGCGAAGTATCCGGAGCCAGCGTGCGTACTTTTCAGCCCTGACTTTAACAGGCCCTTTTTGCTGGTTTTCCCCTCCTTCTTTCCCCGAGCAACCCCGAGAATCTTCTGCGTTTTGCAAACCCAGAAATATAAGCCCATCCAGCTTTCACATAAACATACGCCTTTTCAAGCATAGGAGAGAAGAAAAAAAGAATCCCAGGAAACATGTCATTAGGACGCTTGCTTTCAAAGAGCAAAGGGTTCGCCAGGCGGCCGTGCATTCCAGCCTTCTCTTCAGGAGGCGCCAAGAAGGACAGCTGTACTCTCGGGAGAAGTTCCAGTTCCCATTGCGCTCAAAGCCTTCCAGGGTCTCTGCGGCCTGGCTTGCCGGTGAAGATTCCAACTACACTTTTCTGCTAGTCCTGCGTGAAAACCTGCGATTTAAGCTCGTTTCCGCATGTATCCCTTCGGCTGGAGTGCTGGCTTCTTTTAACAGCCCTTGTGTAGTGCGCAAGATGAGTTGGCCTGGAAGAAGCCATTCTTTCCGGCATTTTCACTTCGAGAGGTCTTTGCAACGTAAAGGCCCAAACCAACCTCAAATAGGGGTTGTATGCTGAAAGCATAGTTACTCTTAAATTGGTTATTGGTCTGGCGTGGTTTGATATTGGCCTGGCAGCCGTCATAAACAATGACAAGTTAAATACATAAGTATTTAAGCAGGCCGAAAAAGAATAAAGGACAATAGTTCACATGGCCACTTCCAGCAGCACAGCTCTGCCACCCGTTGAAAA